ACAACACCCACATAAGGCAAACGACATTAACCCAAACTTACAATTTACCATGCAAAAGGAACAAAACAACAAAATTAATTTGCTCAACATTACAATACATAGAAGAGAAAGTTGCCTATCATACAACATATCCAAATGCATGGATTCCCCCTGTACAACATACAGGTAAACAACAACAAAAGTATTTAAGATCAAAGCATGGGAATAAAGATGACACGGGAAGACGGAGGAAACAAAACATCCCATACCCATACACCAACGAAATACAAAACTTGAACAGCAGCACCAGGTTAGGGGGAAAAAAAAACAAACAAACAAACAGACATATGCACATGAGGTTGAAATCATACACAAAACAAATTCCACAACATCCTACTGCCTGGGTTACCCAGAAAAGGATACTTTTATAATTAATATGCTATTATTTTAACTACAATTTTAATCATATAAGACTAAAATCCCTATATAAAAAAGAGGCATTACATAAAACATACAAACTGGAAATAAACACTCCCATTCTGTAAACACCGTAAAAATCTATGGAGGACTAGCATATCAGAGAAAAATGTAAGTCAGAAAAGCTGTCCATATCTAAAGCTTGCCACGAAAAACTACAAAACATGCAGTACTTAATACACGACCTACAGCGTAGCAATACTAACACGATGGTGACGAAAATATAATAATAAAAGAAACTATTAATCTCCCTTTGAAAACAATAAATTCGTGGCGACACTAAACTAATGCCATCTTGCAATAACAAAACCTTTAACCAACGGGAGGCATTCAAATTGCAACAGTCAATATAAGAAAGTGTATTTGGATCTGATAATCCTAAGACCGATAATAATTTTCCACAGTTCTGCAGCTTAGAAACATATTACTTACCTTGTTTAAACGTAAGAGAACTTCGAGAATAAAGAATAACACTGTCAACACACAACCACACTCCAACCGCTCCAACCGTCATACATTCAAAACTAACAATGCTACCAACCACCAACGGACAGTTAAAATCAATCATCACAGATTATTTACATACACGGAATAGTAATCTAGCCTTGGCAGCCAGGGTATACAAGTAAAAGAAGACCGTCACAGGCAGGGAGTAGAAACTGACATAAGAGAAGGTGAAACAGTGACCAGAGAGCCATTAAAAGCCAATTTGAATTCCCANCGACAGGTCAAAGGAGATGACCTAGACTAAAAGAGATACCCTGGTCCTCCAGGTTAGTTCTTGGGCGAGAGGCTGACGACCGCTCACCGTAAAAAAATAGAAATGTTTCGAAACTTGGAACCAAGCCTCGGAAACCTCAACACAATGAAAAGATGACAATCGGCAAAGAATATGGACTATTCTCTAGGTCAGTGGTTCTCAAACTGTGGGGCGCGAAGGGCTTGAAAAGGGGGCGCAGCATACTTTCCTACAGATACAAATTGGAGATCCCCGAAATCAATTAGAAACGTAAGAAAAATAAAAATACGTATAGAAAAACCTTTGATGAGTACAGGCTTTAATTATTATGAATTTCAAAATAACTA